AATTCCGCAAATTAAGGGGTAACTCCATTTTGCCCATAGTTATGCTAAGGATTACCACTACTACTACTAGTACTACTACTACCATTACTTCTAGTGTTACTGCTATCACTACTACATCTACTTTTGTTGTTGTTCCTTTTGTTACAACTCCTCATGTGGTATGGGCAACAGAAGGATTGTAGGGGGTTCACTGTATGGCAGAGGAGGAATCAGTCTGAGAACACACTCTTCGCTCACACTTCACCTGCCTGAACTCCTTCCCCAAGACCTGTAGGAAGTGCCCAGGGCAGACAAAGGGAGGGAAGCTCTTAAATATACTTTCTAAGCATTTTGATGCCATTCATAAATTCACATTTTCTTGTCATTCATATGTATAGATTTTGTGTGCCATTAATATATGGAAGAGGCTTTCCTTATCGATCACTTTTTTTTTTTTTTTTTTTTTTTTTTGCTATCTCTGATAACAATAAATAGAATTCAATTTTTTTTTTCGAAACATACGGAACACCAGTCCACCTGAAATATCAAGGCTGTTTTTTTTTTCTTTTTTTTTTTTTTGATTTGTGAAAGGCTGATGAAGTGAAAATAAGACCAGTCTAGGACCCCATATGGGAAAAGGTGTATCAAATCATAATACTGACAATGGAAGTTCCAAAAATCAAGTTTTTTTTGTTTTTCTTCGCTTCCCTTCTCTCCTCCATTCCCTCCCCTTACCTCACCGTTATCCTTATCGTTAACTGTACCCCCCCCTCCCTTCCTGCAAACCATCGGTACTAAGGAAAGACGCGTACAAATGAAAATTTAAATGTAACCTTCTATCTGTGCATTTAAGCAGATATGCAAAGAAATAGCTTAGTTTCCCTTTAAAATTAGCTTATGTTTTCTGTGGTTGATACAGCCAATAAAGAATGGGAAACTTTGAGGTAAATGTGAAATAATTATATAAACTAAAATGTTAGAGTGCAGCTTTACACCTTGAAGGAACTCTGAAACAATATATGAATAAGCCTGCACATACAGATATGTGTGTGTTAATAATGATAATCATAATAATCATAATTTTAGGTTTGCTGTGGCAGACTCTTGTGAACAAATTATAGCTTTTCTATTTTTAGTGCTTTTAAATTACCCTGTGTGGAAGGAATGGCCGAGGTTAGTGGTGAGGGGTTAGAATGCAGCTCAGCAATATTGCTAGACAAGACCGCCGCCTCTGCAATACACAGCATACACTGTGTGTGCCTACACGTAAGTGTGTGCGGTTTCAGGTCGTGATTATACAATGTACTCCTCAAATGATACCTTGAGAAACCGTTGCTTGGCTAACGCTGGTTTGCCTTGTATATTAATTTACTCTACAATACTTATATGAACAATATACACTGCAAATATCTAATATGGAATTTAAAAAAACTGATAACTATATTACTGAATTATACGGTTATGTGGTTATGTATTTGTATGTCTGATTTCCCGCCACTCTCTTAGGAGATAGCGATAGGAATATCTTGATATCTGATGGGTTTGTAAAGTTTGCCTCCAGTTGTGTGTGTGTGTGTGTGTGTGTGTGTGTGTGTGTGTGTGTGTGTGTGTGTGTGTGTGTGCATTCTCGTGTATGTGGGAATCTTGATTTTTTTTTATTTCTACGTTATTTTTTTCTAAGAAAAAACAGTTCTTATTGTACTATTTATTTATTATGTGCTTTTTAATGATAACAGCATTGGTAACGATAATTATAATAATTGTTATCATGATTATTACCAATATTATCATTCTTATCATTGGCTGTTACTCCGAACATCGACAGTATTTATTTATCTATCTGCCTTTGGAAAAGTTTCAGAAACTCGTGTAGTATACTTATTGTTCTGGTAAATTTTTGTCTATCATTAAAAAGTTTAATTATAAATAGTCTCTTAAAAGCTCAATAATACATGTCACACAAAGAAATTAAGATTATTATTTATCACCCATTTATCAATGCTGCGTGATGTCATATTGTATTACGTTTTGCTGACTCTTTTGAGCCTAAAATATATATACCTTTCTGTATAATCTTAAACCATTCATATACGATTCATATGTATTAAATACTCTTTGTATTAAATTCATATGTATTAAATACTCCTTGAATGGCGAAATTAAGAGTTATAAATAAATTATTTGAAGTATTTTAACTATTCGGCGATGGGTCGCGCATGCGTGTTGACAGACTGAATGGACAGGTTGGCGCGCTCTCGTCGGCGGATCTTAAACTTGAAATTACTTGAAATTCAGCAGAAAAAAGCGTCACTTTTTTTTTTTTTTTTTTTTTTACATAAACCACTTGTAACGAAAAAATTCTCAAAAATGAGAAAAGAAAGAAAAGATATAAATATATATATATATATATATATATCATATGTTCGTTGTCTCTTTGTCTTTTTTCCTCGGAGTATGAGATCAAGCATTACTTACACGACAGCATAGAGCGTATTATGATAAAAAAATATATATATGCCTG